TTCTTAGATTCTTTTTAAGATAATGTTGACTATTGATGAATACTATCAAATAGACATCTTTTGCATCGACTCATTCAAACGTATACATTTTCTTCCTTCGTACATTTTGAAATAAAAAAACGATCAATTTATCAAAGACGTTCCATTGACGATATTTTCCCAAAAGATTGTTTGTCATTCGATTTCTGAAATTCAACAAAAAAGCATTCATCGATTACACTCACTTTTCATTTGCTCTTTATTAATTATGACCAGTGAATTTTCTCAAAATAGAATCGATTCAAGACGGATTCAATTACAATTTTTTTCTACTAAAATTTTGTTCACCTCAAATATGGCTGCGGTTATGAATATAAATCTTGTTCTCACGAAAAATTCACATAAACACAACACCCACAGTCACATTTTCTTAGTCAATGAGAGAATCTGGGCAAAGAATACTCGCATATGATACCACTTTTTCCTAGATGCATTTGTTTACAATCAACCAAACCTATTTATTCTTATGCAAGATAAGATTCTTTTCTCAAAATCATATGCAAATTAGTGAAGCCGACATTCAAGAACTTTTAATTACTGATAAAGTTGTACGAGAAACGCATCAATATTCTTCTCTACCTGACACAAGTCAACTATTGCCCCAGTCACTATCGTAGTACAATAGAGCAAGTATTTAATCATCTTAAGGACTGATTTCAAGCAATACACAAAAATACTGAGTAGGATAGTGACAATCTCGAAACCATTACAGAGCAGCATGCATGTTGCACAATATATGTATTAATGTACAAGATGCAATTGCAATTGAATGGGATTCGATCGAATTCGTATCCAAAAAATGAGTCTGTCATATTGTAATTGCTTGAAGTACTAAGGATGAGAACAGCACTTACAGTTTATTATGGCTAGAACTTGTTTTCTGAATACTTACTGCTTCTTCTACAATAATCTCTCTCTTGTAAGTTATAAAAGAAATACCTGAGAAAAAGAGATAACTTCTTTAGCTTCATCAGTTGCGCCATCTCCTTGGAAATCCTCTATCGGTAATGGAGTGAATGAAATGTGATACGTCTCTTCAACCTGCATACATGTGTCGAATTGATATGTTCTGCCGACATTACAGAGGCAAGACCTATATTTTGATTGGTGAACTGATGGCTAGATATTAGCATGAGTAAAATTATTTCACATTTAATGCTATCACATCGTCAAAGTGGATAGAGAGCCTATTGTTTTCTTGCAATCTCCAAGGTGAGTAGAGAAGCTTTTACGGGTAGGTGCGCAAATTTGAAACGCAGATGTCATTCCCTAGAATAAAAGGATAGTTCGATGATTCATTGATCCTTTGCGAATTGTTCTGCTAGGAAGAACTAAAAACTGTGTTCGAGGCAAGTGAGACTGCCTGCATTTCATCTATGTGTTTCCGTCACTGTGAATCTGTAATTTGCCTATATATGTATTTTCTCGGAATACTAATAAAATCACGATTTAGACTTCATGTCCTAAAATTAGTATATCGATGTTTTTAATTCATCGGTAAGTCTGAGAGAAAAGTCAAATACGCTATTTTGTAGAGAAAAGTGAGCTCCAACAATTACCATGGCGAATGAACGGAAAATTTTGGGAAAAGTTTTTGTTTCTTTTTCGCTCATACGGAAATATTTTAAAAGAATCAGCAGTTACACATTAGTTGCAGGTTTTTGGGCTGTCTCCAAACATGCACTCAGTAATCATTTGGTAAACGCTATTCGAGAGTAATAAGGAAAAATATTGGAAGGTGTCAGACAGTTTGAATCAAACGGTTGAGTCGAAAGTTCTGAACAGTATTTTGTGTACTTTTGATCGAGATGAAAATATTGTAGACTTATGAAAACTATTGCTTAGGATTCGAATTTTGTGCTATTTTACAATATGGGTACTGGAACTTCGTATCTGTTTGTGCATGAAAGTCGTAAGCAAATCTTTAAACGGATAGTAAAAGTGCGTTGCATGGAGAAAAAACACGCACTTGATAGATATCCATAGGTTGTTTTTCAAAGACATAAGTTGTTGTATTTAGTAGTTTTGCAGAGCAAGCAAGCCAATATAGAATGTGATAACAAACCACACTATAGTTTTTACACAGACGAAAATATAAGTATTCTCTCCGGCGGTACTTTTTGCATAAAGTGTAGTTTGATAAAAAAAGTTTTTTTCAAAAGTTCACAGCGTTGAGAAAATAAATCTTAGTGTATCATTGCAAGGCAACAACAGTTGGATTAGTGCATTTTTTTGAAGTAGCTTTTCTCTGCAAGCTAAGTTTAGAATAAATGCTTCAACTAAGAATTTTGAATCTAACAAATGAAAACACGACAACTTATGGAAAAGTTTCCTGTCCGAACTAACAAGTGTTCCATAAATATCGAAGCTTTCTGTATTTTTCGTTCTACTAGATTCGTTTTAACGGGAGAGACTCGACTTTTTCCAAATGATAGCTCATTCAATTCTCAGAAAATCATATGGAAAGAGTTTTTGTAAAAATTAACCTTGAAATCCTAAGCAGTCCAGATTTGTAAACTACTTCGAAGACGTTCATTTTCAAACTGACTATTGTATTTTATGGACTCTATATCGCTATTTGATTGAATGCGTACAGATTGAATAAGTTTTTTTTGTGATCCTTGAAAATTCTCTATGATCAATTGGAGTTGAAAATTGTCAATGCTTCATTCAGCACGAAGATTGATTTTCACTTTTCTCTAAACCTTTTTGTTCTTGTCAAATTCATGTTTGAATTAGTTCGAAGTCACACTTTAGTCGTATCCAAGCGTAAAAAATTATGATCGAATCTTTTGCCAATGACAAGAAAAATGCTTATTTTATCGTCCAGAACATACCGAACAGGTAAAAACTAATATTGCTGTGCTAGAGAAAGTGTAAAATTGAAATCTTCGATATACTAAACCAAAGTTCCCAAGCAAAACGAATATTGATTCGTCGTGATATAACTAAAAACGGTTTGTTTTGAGTATCTAGAGAAATAGAGAAGTCGATAACATACAAACATATGTATCCAACTGATCTGGTCTTTTCGTGGCCAGACAGAGTACGATAATTAATTTTGGAGTAAACTACGCTTGTACCAATTTTCAAAAGGCGCCTACTAGTGTTGGCTACATAGGGTTCCATGGTTGTATTTTACGACAATTCTTCTCATAAGATTTCGTAGACAATTGTTAGGAAGAACTTGAAATGAAAATCATTCAACTAGTAAAGGAAAACGAAAAATAGAAACAGTTCCATTATTCAAGGATCGCCCATTATTTTGTCAAGTTTTACAAAAGATTAGCTCACTACTCTCGATCAAATCTGACAAATAATATTTAAGCTTGTATTTAGAAAGAGCATCAAACTCTGGACTAAACAACATTTTTTAGTACTCTGAAACAGTCTCCCATGAGCCAAGAACTGAACAAAATCTTTGTATAGTAAATTTTGTCGTGTCTCTGTAGACTACTCACTGAATAATGCCCAATTGAATATTGTCTTTTTCCTGAAACAAAATTTGTTTTTTTATCAAGTTGACGAATATGCTTCGTTTTATGACTAGAGAAAACCTACCGAACTGATTAATATTTGTTTCGCTTAAAAAAAAAAAGATTATTGCTAGCAGGCTTTCCACTAGGTAGAATTCGGAAATAGTTAACTAGCAAAGAAATAACTGAAATACAACAATGACTAGAAATTAGGCATTTTCAGTGATTTTAAAGGAGATTGATCCAGCTAATTAGCTCTAACGAATAAGGCACACCGTTTCAAACGATAATATTTTACGTTCCAGTAAGGTGAAAAGTAGACTGTTTCATGAAACGACCAAATTGAAAACTTGACTTTTGTCGGTGAGTGTGAGACTTCTTAGCAACCTACACAATAGTGCTGTCACATTCTTATTCTAAAAAATTCGAGTTCCACTTATGAGGGTACCACCGGAGGTGGCACCATCCGTTTTTACTCATTTATATTTCATTCGATAGAGTATATTCAGTTAGTTAAAGGACTGAGAGGATTTTTCTCCAATGGTCTTCCTTCGAAAGTTATGGTCGTTTTATTGAATTTTCGACCCATTCCCTGACATTTACGAAAAAATCAAAATAGGGAATTTCGACTTGATATTTCGCCCATAGATATGCCTAATGGTCCTTAGAATGTCCTGAAACTTTCAGCTAAAAAGAATGTTCTTTTCTTGAGATATTGAATTTTCAAGTGAACTCGGTTTTTGTGACCAATCTGTGGCAGGCGACTATTTTTTGAAAATTCAATATCTCAAGAAAAGAACATTCTTTTTAGCTGAAAGTTTCAGGACATTCTAAGGACCATTAGGCATATCTATGGGCGAAATATCAAGTCGGAATTCCCTGTTTTGATTTTTTCGTAAATGTCAGGGAATGGGTCGAAAATTCAATAAAACGACCATAGCTTTCGAAGGAAGACCATTGGAGAAAAATCCTCTCAGTCCTTTAACTAACTGAATATACTCTATCGAATGAAATATAAATGAGCAAAAACGGATGGTGTCACCTCGGGTGGTTCCCTCGTTAGTGCGTAGTACTAGCTTCACGTTGATCCATTCTTCCTTGGTTATCGCTGCAAAATATCTCAAATCTGCAAAAATGCTTGTTGGTAATGACCTAAACACGTTGAAACACAGTATACATTTCAAATGAGCAGTAAAAATCCTACTTTAAAGGTAATAATGTGGCGAAAAGTCGGAGTGCAAGTAGGTGCGAGCGCACCTATGGTAGAAGACAAAGACCCATCCATTTCCGCCTGCGNGAGATCGAGTAAGTTTCGTTGATTTCTAGTGATGATGCCATAGAGTCTTGAAGTCTTTACTGAAGCTTATATGCACGATAGTCTACTTGAATCTACACAAGTTAGTACTACGTAGATATGAATGCGACATAAAATTCTTATTTCAATTGACGAATATTATTTCTTTTGATGATAGGTAATCAAAAAAAATGAATAATAATGATGATGAAGAAATGTTAACAGAAATGATGTCCAGTCAAATGTATTTAACACCATTAGGTGTATTAAAACATTTCGAAAAAATTTGGACAAATGAAAAAGAAGTTCTCACAATTTATTTAGCTGCTTTACGATCACCACAACATTCAATAACGCATGTTCGTAATAATCCAATAAGTTTATTCTTTTTTGAAGTTCTACCTGGTTCGCCATCAAAATTTCGTCCCGTATGTATTTAATCTTGTTTTTCGAAAAGAAAACTTAAAAAACAAAAAATTTATCTTCTTTAAGGTATTGTCATTTAATAATCAAAAATTTGAAAATCCAAAAACGGTTCGATATTCAACAATTATTCAAGATAGCCAATTAATGAAGGAACTTTTATTAATGAAAGATAAAAAAACCACAGACACATCAGCATCAACAACTGTAATACATTTTGATTGATTAGCCTTTGTATTTTCTCATGTTTTTGTGAAACATGATCTAAAAGGAGTCTTGAAGTGTAGTAAAAGAAGTTTGAGAGATTGTCCCCCGTTTCCACTCATCTGATATATCTAATCATGAGATCTAACTGTGGGATTAGTATGATAGTTGTTCTTCACTTTTCTATCATATTCTAATACATTGTGATTGGTATTTTCCATAATCGGCATGTACTATTAGTAGGTGAAATTCATAAATTGAAACATATATATTGATTAATGTTCTCTTGTACAGTAGCAACCAGCAGAATCACAGCATTTCACACTTTAATGGTATCGACATTGCATTAACAATTTTTTTTCTTTGGATTTACAGTCGAACATCTTTAACTAATACTTTACGCGGTGCAACAAATGAAGAAAAACTTAATAATCTTTGGCTTAAAATGCAAATTACTGTTAATTCTATATTTGATAGTTCATTAGATAATCGAAGTGGTGCTCAAGTAGCCAAAGGTATTCGACAAGTATGTTAATGATTTATTCTTCTTGAAATTTAAAAAAATATTTTAATACTAATTCCATTTTTTAAAATAAAAGGTAATTGAGAAAAAAGAAGGTTTATTTCGTATGCATATGATGGGTAAACTAGTAAATTATGCTGGTCGATCAGTCATATCACCTGATCCATTTATTGCAATCTATGAAGTTGGAATACCGGGAAGTATTTGCGAAAAAATTAACTTATCCAGAATTAGTTACACCGTATAATGTTCATGAATTACGTCAATTAATTCTTAATGGACCAGATGTTCATCCTGGGTAAAAGAAAAACAAATTCTTTTTCGTTTTATGAATATAGAACAAGAATATTTTATTGTTTTAGAGCAAATTTTGTTGAACTTGACGATGGAACAATACGTCGTTTATTACCAAATAATTTATCACAACGAACTGCTGTTAGTAAACTTTTATTAACAAGAGAAAAACAACATAGTAATACAGCATTAATGTCTACTAAAAGAGTTTATCGACATCTTCGAACTGGTGATTATGTTCTTTTTAATCGTCAACTAACAATTACATCGACCAAGTATACAAGCTCATATGGTAAATTTATTTTGTATATTGTGTGTTGAATGATATTCATTGTAATAATTAAGGCTCGAGTATTACCTGGCGAAAAAAACCTTACGACTACATTATGCTCAATGTAAATCGTATAATGCTGTTTTTTGATGGAGATGAAATGAATATTCATTTACCACAAAATGAATTAACACGAGTTGAAGCAGCTGAATTAAGTACGTATTTTATTTTATTTTATTTTTTTTTGTCAAAGAAGAAAAAAGTTTTCCTTTTCATTTAGTGATCACTTATCAACATTTTCTTGTAAGCAAGGATGGAACACCATTAACTGGTCTTATTCAAGATCATGTTGTTGCTGGTACAGCATTAACAATGCGTGATCGATTTTTTGAAAAGTATTTTATTGAGTTGAAAATTCTATTTATCAATTTTCTGTCTTCAGATCTGATTATCAACAACCTGTATATAATGATAATGGTTCAAATTCTCGTCGAAAAATTCGTTTATTACCACCATGCATTTGGAAACCAAAACAATTATGGAGTGAAAAACAAGTATTTTCATTAATTTGTTTGTCTCTTAATAAAAATCTATTTGCTTCTGCTAAGATTATTTCAACAATTCTTCTCTATATTCAACCAGCTAAAGAAGTATCACTTAATCTCAATAGTAAATCAAAACTTTCAATGAAAGTAAGAAAAATAAATTTAAAATAATAAGAAAAACTAAATAATAATTATCTTTCTTAATAGTCATGGCCATCGGAACCAAATGCAACAAATATTGATTTAATGGCTGATACATATGTTATTATTCGTCATGGACATCTTCTATCTGGTTTAATTGATAAAGCATATTGTGGTTCAACATTAGCATCTGTTGTTCATTGTTATTACGAATTATATGGAAAACGTTGTGCTGCTTATCTTGTTACTGCTTTTTCAAAATTATTTACACTCTTTTTACAATATTATCGAGGATTTACACTTGGAATTGAAGGTAAATTTCTTTTGTTATTTTTAATCTATAAATAAAAATTCTTTTAGATTTTCTTTTATTTCCTCCTGGTGTATCACATCGACGTCGATTAATCAATGAATGTCGTGTTCAAGCAGGTGAAAAAGCTTTACGAAAAACATTTTCTCTTCCTGATAATTCTAATGAAGAAGAACTTATTGATGAATTTGCTAAAGCATTTTGTACAAAATCATTTGATGAACGTATATCAAAAGAAATGGATATGAATTATAAAACATCTATTGATGAATATCAAAATCAAATTATTAAAAAAATGTATGTCAAATTTATTTAAACAATTTCCAGATAATAATTTGCAATTTTTAATTCAATCGAGTTCTAAAGGTAAAACTATTGATTCATTAGTTTTAATTCTAATTTTATTTTCGTTCATTGTAAAATATGCAAAGTTCCAATAAGGTGTATAGATTAAAACCATAAACTGATACAATACGTTGTTGTAAATCTGAATCTATGTATCAAGCCTTCTATTCTACATTTCTAATTTCAGGTCCATTTGTTCTATAAGAGAGTCTCTTAATAGATATATCATTTGGATTTTTGTATGACTGATGAATCCTTGCACTACTTTTCTCAACTACACATTCATCTAACATCGCTACTTCAAGGATCCTAATATAGAAACATGAATTCATGGTTATTGCAATACTTAGTTTGCTTTAAGAAAATGTTGAGCTTTAAAGAAATTAAATATTTTGATTATTGGAGGAAAAGCATAAAGAAAATCTTATACTATCAAATAAAGACTTCTCATTTATATCAGACAGACAAAATCTCTCATATAAGCTCCATTGACTATCCTTTAGTTTTGTGACATGTCTGATATTTCTGTCAACTTCATAAAAATTTCTACCTTTTTATTTCTAGACTATGCACAATCCCATAATATGAAGACAACCAACAGAATGATATTAAAACATGTCTATTTTCTATTTGCCAGTTCTTATACAGTTGTCTTTCATTCATGTTTATTTGTAGCCATTTTTCGACTTACGAAAGAAACTCATTCATTTGTTAATTGAAAACATGTAGAAGAAACGATATTAAATATAACAAAGAAGCTACAACTAAAAGTGATATACTGATCTATTTGATCATTTACATCGCTATGTTGCGCTCGTTCAAATAGAATCGGCTTCAATTTTCTGGAAGGAGCTGAATTGATATGTACTTTGAGTAACTTTTTCATATCAGTGACAATCAAATGTACCTAATGCATATTTAAAGACATAAAGTTAGAGCTAAGCATTGACTGAATTCACGATAGTCGTCAGAGATAGAATCGATCTTAGTGATTTGTTAGTATTTGTAATGTTTATATTGGAGTGGTGGATTAGAATGCTGAAACATACCTGTCACTAATAGATTAAACAGAAATCGAGATTTTCTCCTCTTTTCTGACAAAATCATCGGATTTAGAAAAAAAAAATGAAAAGTGAAGCTATTAAAGCCGAATTCAAAAGCAAATGTTCTAAGAAACTTTCCATAAATTGATATATATATATATATGAATAGTTTTGAACAAGTACCATTATAATTCTTTGTAGTATGATATATGTTACAACGCAGATTAAGATTATGTATGAATTATTTCTAATCAACTATTGATATTCCTTTGGCATATTACTGATAAATTGCTTCACATAAGATTATTTTTATTGACTGACATTTTTAATTGAACATATGAAATTTCTTAGTCAGAAATTCGATGATCTCCTACATATTTCTAATATCTGTCATGTTAAAATTTAAAAAAAAATGAAATAGAAATCTGTTAGTATTTCAAAAGTTAGAGTAATAAAAAAAAATAACGTTGTTGATATTATTTAAGGTTCATCTGTAAATGCAATGCAAATGTCTTGTTTACTTGGCGAACAAGAGTTAGAAGGTAAACGTCCACCAATGATGCCAAGTAGTCGTGCATTACCATCATTTCGTCCCTATGAATATTCATCACGGTCAGATAGTTTTCTTGATGGCAGTTTTTTAAGTGGTATTCGACCACAAGAATATTTTTTTTCATTGTATGACTGGACGAGAAGTATGAAAACATGTGTTTTGTTTTCTAAAACTAATTTCTTATTATTTTGTTTTTCTTTCATTAGGATCTTATTGATGCAGCTGTAAAAACTGCTCGTATTGGTTATTTACAACGTTGTTTAATGAAACATTTAGAAGGTTTAGTTATTAATTATGATTTAACAGTTCGTAATAGTGATGGAAGTGTTATACAATTTCAATATGGTGAAGATGGTTTAGCTGTTGAAAAATGTACATATTTAAAAGAAGTAAATTATCCATTTCTTGTTGCTAATCAACCAACAATATTACGTCAAGATGAATATTCATGTATTGTTGATATACGTGGTTCAACAAAAGAAAAACCAATAATAAAAACTTTTAAAAAAATTCGTGCATGGAGAAAAAAAACTCGAGAATTAGCTGATGATGAAAGTTTCGATGATTCAACAAGATTAAAAATAAGTGATGAAACGAAAATTCGTATGACACCATTTATAAATTATTCACGTTTTTTTGATTTACATACATTAAGAAACTTTAAGAAACTTATTAAAAAGTAAAGATATTAATGAAGCACGTTCAATTATGGTTCAAACATGGAGAGATTTATCCGATGATAAACGTGAACAATATAATCATGGTGTTGTCAAATTCTATTCACCTGTTACAGAAAATTATTTATCAGCATCAATTTTAGGTGCTATTACAGAACGTTTAGATGATTTAATTAGAAATTATATAACTGCACATGGAAAATTAGATCAAACGAAAATGGATACACGAACATTTGAAAAAATGATGCATTTTAAATCACNTTAACAGTGTCTTACAGGTTCTTTGAAAAGTACTTTTTTCTTTTATTTAAATACGTAATTTATTTATTTATTTATTTGCGTTTTTAAAACAGATTATCAACAACTTGTATATATAGCTATTGGATCACATTATCATCGAACAATTCATTTATTACCACCATGTATTTGGAAACCAAAACAATTTTGGACTGAAAAACAAGCATTTTTTTAAAATTAACTTATTGTTTTTCTTCTTAATAAAGTCTTTCGTTTTTTTTGTTTCTAGATTATTTCAACAATTCTTCTTTATATTCAACCAGTTAATGAAGCATCATTTAATCTTGATAGTAAATGAAAACTTTCAATGAAAGTGAGAAAATTTTATTTAAATTACAATAAAATATATAAGTTTTAATATAGTCATGGCCATCAAAATCTAATGCAATAAATATTGATTTAATGGCTGATACAGATGTTATTATACGTCATGGTCATCTTTTATCTGATTTAATTGATAAAGCACATTGTGGTTCAACACTTGCATCTGTTGTTCATTGTTATTATGAATTATATGAAAAACGTTATGCAGCTGATCTTGTTAAAGCTTTTTTGAAATTATTTACACTTTTTTTACAATATTATAGAGGATTTACACTTCATATTGAAGGTAAAAATTTTTGTTTAAATGTCTAAAAAAATAAAATAAAACTTTTTTAAGATGTTCTTTTACTTTCGCCTGGTGTATCACATAGACGTCGATTAATAAATGAATGTCGTAATCAAGCAGGTCGAAATGCATTACAAAAACGAACATTTTCTATGCCTAAAAATACTGATGAAAATATACTTATTAATGAATTTGCTAAAACATTTTGTTCAAAATCATTTGATGAATATATATCAAAAGAAATGGATTTAAATTATAAAACATCAATTGATAAATATCAAAATCAAATAATTAAACAAATGTATGTCTCATTTATTTAAACAATTTCCTGATAATAATTTACAATTTTTAATACAATTCGGTACTAAAGTTAATCATATTCATTAAATTTGTTTTTTTCTCCTGAACTTGTTTGTGCTTAATTCGAACATAATAGCTAAAATTTCGTTAAATAATGTAAGCAATACAATTATTAGAATTAGGAATCTCTTTTCTAATCATGTATCGGATATTTAACATTGATATATATATACATATATATATATATTATCGATAACTGAGTGTTGCTAACAGATCAAGATTAAGAATCGAACAATGCGATTTTAACCAGCAGCTGATATGCAATATTTCATGTTTTCTTTTTTTGTCCACTGTAAATCTTGAAAATATCAAATGTGTTTCAAAAGTCGAACTTTTTCAAATTCGTCTTTATTCTTCTATTGATTTCAACTGTTTAGTAAAAATTCTTTGTAATTTGTTAAATAATAATTCCACAAAGAAAAAATCAGTAAAAATGATAAATGTTTATAGTTAGACCTCGTCACAGAGGACCTTGAAATTGTTTTCTAAAGCTTTTGACACATTGATAAATTAAAGTTCTTTATAATAAAGTATGTTACATATAAAAATTTAATAAATTATATATTTCTTAAAACTCATAAGCTTTTTCATAAAAAAAATTCTTTTATTATATTTCAGTTCGTTTCTAATTAAATATAAGTTTTGTAACTGAATTGTTCCATTCTTGCTGATTGAATAAAAGTGTAACCGTTAGAAGTCTCTATATACTCAATACAGTATTGCATAGGTACAACTTTTCGTAGGTAACATGACTGTTTCTTCTCCCGCGACACTCGTCCTTGTCATATTTGACACGACTGATGATAAAGTTGAAGATGAGGATGAAGTCTACATTTATTTTGAGTACCTTTCTAATAGATTTGTGATCACTCGAAGTTCTAAACAACAGCTGTATAAAAGAAGATATTGCAAAAACATCTGTCTGAGGGTGGAACCGTCTTGGATTCATTTTCATCTCTGTATGATTGAAAATCGTATCTTATTCACATCTACAATATTCATACTTGTACTTGATTTGCACTCATGGATTGCAGCATATGTCCATCATTTCGATTTAGAAAAGATGAGATCATAACATTTAGACAATCATAAAATATAATCGCAATGAATGAAAAAAACGTATTCTATGTTACCAAGATCAGCGGCTCTCTTCAAGTTTTCTTTATTCTATCACTAGATCACTACTGTACCAAAATTAGTTTTCGTACCTATGATCTCCCAGTATTTTAATATTTGCCTGCTTCGTACTGGCATTCATGCTCGGATACTCAATCCGTGAATGGCAGTATTCTGGTTTATTTGCTTTGATTCAAAAAAATGTTATTTTTTCTATGTTTTTAGGTTCATCTGTAAATGCAATGCAAATGTCTTTTTTACTTGGTCAACAAGAGCTAGAAGGTAAACGACCACCAATGATGCCCAGTGGTCGAACACTTCCATCATTTCGTTCATATGAATATTCACCACGATCAGGTGGTTTTGTTGATGGAAGTTTTTTAAGTGGTATTAGATCACAAGAATATTTTTTTCATTGTATGGCTGGAGCGATGTATAAAAAATAGACTTTTTCCTTGTTTTTTTTTTATTTGAAAAATTTTCTTTCTTAAGGGTCTTATTGATACAGCTGTAAAAACTGCACGTATTGGTTATTTACAACGTTGTTTAATGAAACACTTAGAAGGTTTAGTTGTTAATTATGATTTAGCAGTACGTGATAGTGATGGTAGTGTTGTACAATTTCAATATAGTGAAGATGGTTTAGCTGTTGAAAAATGTACTTATTTAAAAGAAGCATATTATCCATTTCTTGTTGCTAATCAATCATTAATATTACGGGATAATGAATATTCACATATTGTTAAAATGTGTGGTTCTACAAATGATAAGCCAAAAATAAAATATTTAAAAAAATTCGTGCATGGAGAAAAAAACCGTGAATTAGCTGATGATGATAATAATGATTCAACAAGATTAAAAATAAGTGATGAAACAAAAATTCGTATGACACCATTTATAAATTATTCACGTTTTTTCATTTAAATACATTAACAAATTCATTAAAAAGTAAAGATATTAATGAAGCACGTTCAATTATGGTTTAAATATGGAGAAATTTATCAGATGATAAACGTGAACAATATAATCATGGTGTTGTGAAATTTTATTCACCTGTTACACAAGATGATTTGCCAGCATCAAATTTAGGTGCTATTACTGAACGTTTAGATGATTTAATAAGAAATTATATGAGTACAAATGATAAATTAGATCGAACTAAAATGGATAAAAATACATGTGAAAAAATGATTCATTTTAAATCACTTAAATCATGTATTGATCCAGGAGAAAGTGTTGGAATTTTAGCTGCATAATCAATTCGAGAACCAAGTACACAAATGACATTGAATAGTATGTTTAAAAATTTTTGTTTTTCTATAAAACTAAATATCAGTTTCCAATTAGTGTTCAGATTCGATTTGTTTCATATGATTTTTAAATTAGTAGTACATTTTGTTTCAAAATTCTAACTTGAGTAAGAAAAAAATAAATAATTTTTTGTTTATTATTTTGAAAAATAATTTAGATAATTATTTCAATTAGACGTCGTCGTTTACAGTTATTTTGTAAACGCCTTTTATTTGTTATACCTGAATTTTTATTATCAATTACAGGAATATTTTATTTGTAGTTTTTAAAACTCATAATAATTATTGGTATATACATAGTTTATGGCAACTTCACTTCCTTCTTTTCTTCGCCATGAAAAATGTAAAGAAAAATAAACTATATTCTAGATTCGACGCGATAATCTACAACTAAAACACACCAACGGTCGCGTCGATCCATGGCTTAAAATTAGGAGAGAAGGCAGGAAAAGTGCGGTATACTCATATTTATAGTGTAAAATATCTGATCTTGATATGTAGGGTTCAATGAGTTCGTGAGATATATGCAAGACGTTCTTAAATAAAAGCTAGAATTTTTTCTAAATGTTGTTGTGCTCTGCAGATACATAGCGTATTAAATTAATAAATGTTTCATCCAATAATCGCAGTTCGATTCAAGTGAGTTTGTTGGTTCCTTATGAAGACTGTCTTCGAGTTACATTTGGTTATCATTATGACATAAATATGTAAAAAGAATAACGAGTTACATACAGTTTTGCATGGAGTGTCTATAGGTAGTTTATCTTAGCATATATAGCGCGGAAATAGTTAGTACTAGTGGAAAATCTCTCAGAGAAGAATGTTGAAGAAAGAAATTTAAAAGAAGAGGCCACTAGCATGTCTGTTTTTTATTGGTCAATCTCGAATTGATCAATCTCGCACTTGGCATGAACGATGATTCATTTCCTTGGTTTACTATCTCTACTGAAAAAAAATTCGTACTGTGGTGACCCGTGGTCTGGTGAATCTAACAGAAAATGCACTTTGACATACACACCACTTTGATTGGATGAGTTTTTGATAGAATATCCGCTGGATTTGCCTGTTTATTAGTCTGAAATTTGTTTTGGGTGAAACTCTACTGTTTCTGAGAAAAATCTGAAATTAGAGAGATCTATGGTGCCCTCTGCAAAGGTTTCTTGTAGTTTTCTCAAAAATACCTAGATACACCCAAAACGAACTTCAGATTAATAATCCGACAAAACTAGAGAATATTCTGTCAAAAATTTATCCAATCAAGGTGGTGTGTATGTCATAGTGCATTTTCTATTAGATTCACTAGACCACAGACCATGGGTAACCAAATAAAAATGTTCGACGAAAATCTCTTTTTTGTTTTTCCACAATACGGATTTTATTTTCAAATGTAACAAATGAAAATGTTTCTTAATCTTTTTAGATGGTTTTATTCAAAAGTGTTTTATTTACAAAGGATAAAAAGCCAATAATTCTTAAAAATCTTAATCTTGATAGTTTAAAAAGAATTATGCATCAAAATGAACATAACACAGTTATACTAGATTGTGCAAATAGTCGTTTTCTTTTTTATGATTATAAAACACCAGGTTCAAAGAAATATAATTTATATGACGTGAATGTTTTGGATAAAAGTGATGAAATATTTGACAAGGTGTTGTTATTAAAATATGATGACAATGATATTCAAAACAAAATTGATTTAGCAGAAAATTTCCGAAGAAATTGTGTATTATCTATCGTAAAAGAACAAAATGCACAACAACAGCAAAGTAGTTCAATAGAAAAAGATGCATTAGATGATTCTAATACAGCAACAATTAATAGTATGGATTTATTTATTATTGATGAAGAACAACCTCAAACACATAAAATAAATTATAATAAAACAATTCTTGAATCCGATGATAATGATTCAAATAGACCAACATTTGATGATATTATTAAATTAGATGATGAATCATTATTCGTTGTAGATGAATTAGAAGATGATGAAATTAATGATAATAATATGCATCAACAACAAATATTATTTGATATTAATGATAAAAATGAAAATAATGAATCGACTAATAATAATAAAACAAATATTTCAATTAATAACAATATGCTAGAAAGTAATAATTCATGTTTTTTATCATCATCTGAAAAATTTATTATTGACAAGATAATGGATCTTTCGAACAGATTTAGTTCGTTTGAAAAAAACGTGAATAGACGATTGAGCAATATGGAAAACAATATAAATCTTATATATGAACGACAATCATTACAATCTTTATTGTCGTTACTGAACTCCGTCTATTTAATAACATCAGATAGATTAGAAACAAGAAGATTTGATGCTAATGAATCATATTTTATGTTGAAATTTTTTAATTTTATCTCAAAACAACTAATGATACATTATACAGATAGATGGTCAACGTATGCTGATATAAGTAAAAAAATAAGTCTCAAGCCAAAATCAATTGAGATTAATTTGTTAGGATTTGGGATTATGGATAAATCGCCCATAAAAAAACTACGTTTAATTCAATCGCAAGCATCTTTATCTGTTCGTAATACAAACAACTGCAGATTATCATACGTCAGTCAATGTAGAAAAAATTATGATAAACCACCGACACACGTTTTAGTCTTTGAAGGAACTACGTCATCTGTTTATTTTAACACTGAATTATTTAAAGAAATAAATTCATCATCTTCATCAACATCATCAGACAAAAAAATAATATCCATGAAAATGTTATTAAGAAAATTATTACAACTTGAAAGAATAGTATTTTTTTTGTCTTTTTATTATAAAATCGAATTATCTCAATTTTTTTCTGGAATGATTTGCTTTCATTTTTATCATAATTCGCATATTGATTCCAATTTAACGTTAAAAAATATTATGTCTTCAGAATTTAGTCAAGCTATACCACTTCTATTTCGATTGTATTTACTTGATCAATTCATTCTGACTTATTAATTGAATTAAATCAATATATAAAACTTATTTTACATATACAGCTTGATTACGTTATTTTTGATAGTTTTGTTTAGTTTGCTGTATTTCTGCAAAACCTAGGAAGATTCTTATTTTGATATAGTTGGATAGAGCATTAATTACTCTATCAAACTATATAGCTTTCATTTTTATTTAGCTTCCATCTTGTCCAAAAATTTGTTAAATTTCGAAAAGCAACCTACTATGATTTTTTTTCTCAGTAGCTTTGACATCATTTCTGAGTTAATTTCCTTGATAACTATTATAAACCCAAGTACTGAAACGTTCTCATGTTTATACAGTTAAATAGAACATTCGTTTCTCTATCGAACCATATATTTTTCATTAGACTCATTGGTCAGTTGTATCACAAATCCGGTGATTTCTTGACACGTTTTTAGGTGATCTTTTTCCAAACACTTGTCTTCTTTTTTTCTTGAGAGTATTTTGGTTATCCCAGCGTCAATTTTTTTTTCATTCATCTATGGCTGGAAATAGCATTGATTTTTGTATCAATTCATATAATAATATTCTAAGTTATATGAGGTCTTACAGGATAGTTTTTGGAAAAAACACGAGAAACTTGGTTTTTCATAAATGGCAAAAAGAAGCTAATTTCACCAGTAAAATTCAATTATCTCCCCAAATTCAAATCCGATTTGTTTGATATTTTGTACACACTCAAGTTGCATGATTCTCTTCCATCTAGAAGGATCTTCATAGTTAAAGAATTTTGCATCAGTGAAATATGATCGTGAAAAAGTTTAATTTCATCGATTCTCAAAATATATCAAATTTTTGGTTAAGATGAAAGATAAACAAAATGCAAACTATATGGGTTTGACAGAGTAACCAATGCTCTATCCAATCGTATCAAAATAAGGAACTTCCTGGGTTTTGTAGAAATACAGCAAACTGAATAAAACTATCAAAAATAACATAACCATGCTGCATACTAACACATGTAATAATTATCTTTCGTTTATTTCTCATTTTTTTTCTATTATGTGTTATAAAAAAACATTTCTTTTTTCTTTTACATGTAAAATTTCATAGAATTTTCTGAAGCATGCTACAGCTAATTTTCCCGCGTTTTTCCCTATTGTTGAATCTTTGTCTACTTATTTTTTTGATTCTATACGTGTCTTTTTGTGTGCATCTATAAAAGTGAGCGCGGTAACTATTCATACAAATATGTGTGGAGAAGTTGCATCACAAAGTGCAAAATTAGAACAGCAAATAAAACATGCATCACTTAAAGATAAATCAAATTATATTGATGACCTTTCAACAGAAATAAATTTAAAATCATCTGATTTACTTCATACAAATGAATCTAGTGATTCATATTATGATGAAGAATTTCAAGATGTTCTTAGTGATTCAAAACAATTAATGCTTTTGGTGTTCCTTATGTGCAAAAAAAAGATTAATTAAGTTGCTTGTTTTTTTTGTGAATTAATATGAATCTAAGGTATGGAAAAAAAGTTCGCGACATTTTCTTATCGATATTAATAGAAAAATTTCTAAGAACTTTTTTTTCATATAATATACTAAAAGATGCAGCGTGAAAAGCTCTACAATTTGCATAAGACCGCTTTTTTTACAGTTGCACTTTTTGTTTTCAAAATCGTCAAAACTTCGAACGNCTACGGACCGTGACAGACTTTGAAATACGATTCACAGGTATTGCGCTAACAGCTATTGTTATTCGTAATCAAATTCGATTTTTTTGTCAACTAGAAAGAATGAAAAAGAACAAAGATGATTTTATTCATTTTCCAGATAAACACAGGTCGAAAAAAGACTGAACTAAACTTGAAACGATGTTTGAAAATACCAACTTGATATGTGATGATTTATAGATTTATAATTCGAATAAATTTATAATCAAAGAATTAGTCAATAGTACCCATTGAAGTGATTGAAAATTGAATAAACGATACATTAACTTAGTCAGTCGATATTGAACTATAATATGTCTAATTTGAATCAAATCTCATTCTATAACTTCGATTTATGTGTAAATCAAAGAGATGCCTATTAATTCCAGTAAATAAATCAAGAATCTTAGAATAGAACGTATGCAAGCACACTGAAGCTCATTAAAACCTATGACATTTTCATCGAAATCCAATAAATACATTAGAAGCCAGCAATTTTCACTATGATTTGAAATTAAAGAAGAAAATGTGCATCTTGATAAATCCCATTAAATTTCAACAATCAAAAAAATCTATCAGAACTCAATAAAATCCAGTGGAGTTTGAGAATATCAGATCTGCTTTTTTTCATTTTTGTATTTAATCTTAGCTCCCATTTTTTTATGACTTAGTTTCATTCAATTCTAATACATTCTGTGGTACTTGAAATTCAATAGAATCTATTCTTCTTTTTATAAACTACTATTTTAATTTCATTAACAAATAGACAAATAGAAAAATGTGAAGATCCGATCTGTTATTTGAAAGCTAAATAAAATTTGAAAAGTTTCATGTGTTTTAAACTATGTAGAACATATCGAATGTCTTCCCTGTTTTTCCTTATTTTAATGATCAATAACAATCCTATTTGACATATTTCTTTCATTTTAAGCTTTTCATTTTGCTGGTCGTGGTGAAATGAATGTAACATTAGGTGTTCCACGTCTTCGTGAATTACTTATGGTTGCTTCTCAAAAAGTGAAAACACCAACAATGGAAGTACCTATTTTACATAGTTCATCAGCATTACGTAAAGCAAAACGTTTACAACGTCGTTGGTCTCGTCTTTTATTTTCTCAAGTATTAAAAAATTTAAATATTCATGAAAAACTTTCACTAAAATTAAATGATCATAAACATACGTATAAGATTGAATTTCATTTTGATGAAAAATATGGTAAAAAACAATTAAATGAAATTATGCGTTCATTTGAAACATATTTTATTCCACGTTTATGTCGTTCAATAAATAAAAAACGTAAAGAATTAACAACAAGTGGTCTTTTAAGATCAGCACATATTCGTGATAAGATAAGAATTAATGATTCAAATGATAAAGATGAACAACAAGAACTAGGTGAAAAAGATGATGATGATGATGACGACGATGAAGATGATGGCCAAATTAATGGTGAAGCTAATACAGCAAAAGAAAAAGCTAATAGAAATGATGAAAAAGAATATGATGATGATGATAATAATGATGAAGAAGATGAAACTGATGATGACGAAGCTGTACAAGGTAATCAAGATGAAAATGATCAAACAAATACATCAAAAATAACTATTAAAGAAGATGTCATTGATGATGATGATGATGTACCAGGTAATCTCATAGAAAATAAATGAGAGAAATAGAGCACGAATGTTGAAATCATGAAATTTACTTTTTGACTTCAGAATTCGTTTTTCTTGGCATATTCTTCAGTTTTATAGTGACGTATTTTTCCAATTCAAATAACAAAAAAAAACTTTTATTGTAAATGACGAATTTTAACAGCTTATCTTTGATTATGTGAATTCTTATGTTCATCATGTAGATGCTAATCAATCATGAATATCCTGAAAAAAGTTCAGACCGTTAGATTATTGTTGATGAACTAACTACTGCACTTTTAGATTATTTTTTAAATGAATACTGTGACTTACTCATGAAAGCTTATTTTTGAATTTCAACTTGAAGCTTTACATAGAGATAGACCTTAACGAGAATAGTTTATTGTGAACGTTTGATATATTTTGATTTGCTTTTTTCCGGAAATAAGAACATCAAATCTATCGGAGTATTTGAGCAAAATAAAAGACAAGCTTTTACCATAGCTGTATCTTAGAATAGAAATAATGAAAAGATCTGAAACTTGCGTATTAAAAAAATACTCTAAGAATGTAGCATCTCAACAAAAATAATATAAGAGTCTGAACTCAAAAGCGATTGAATAGTTTGTAGACTTCCTTCTTCAGTCATATTTCACAATAATCTTGTAATAGATTTTGGTTTCGTCGTAGTTTGTACATAGGAGAAAATGATATTTTGTGAATGAATGTAACGATCTGTAATAACTAATTTTCGAATAAAAGTTTTTTTCTTTTAAATAGCATTAGATATATCTAAAGAAGAAATGAATAATGATGATGAACAAGAACTATCAGGCAATAATGATGATAACAATGATGAACCACCAAGTAAAAAATCAAAGAAAATGAATAAAAAAACTGCTCTTATAGATAATACGACATACAACGAACGATTTGGTGTATGTATATTACAAAAAAAAAAACAATAGAACGACAGTTTTGATTTCATTTATTAAAAACGATTTTTCTTTTATTTTAGAATGTTTGTAAACATGCTGATTATATAAATGACTATACCGCTGATCTGGATAATAATTTATGGTGTCGTTTAACAATGACATTTCCAGCTACTCAACCTCGTATTGATCTTGAAACATTAATTCGTAGTGAAGCATCTCGAACAACGATAACATCAATTGTTGGTATTCAAAATTGTTTTATTACAGAAAATAAAGAATATCGATCAAAAATAAAAACTGATCCTAATGATATTGAATATATTCTTTCAACTGAAGGTGAAAATATAAATGCATTAATGACATATTACCAAATATTTGATTTACGTCGAATATATACAAATAATATTCATCGTATGGCACAAATATTTGGTATTGAAGCAGCTAATCGTACATTAATACGTGAAATAAATCGAGTATTTGGTGCTTATGGAATTGAAGTTGATTATAGACATTTATCTTTATTAGCTGATTATATGACATATGAAGGTGTTTATAAACCATGTAATCGTTTAGGTTTAAGAACTAATGCAAGTCCATTACAAAAAATTACATTTGAAACATCAACAACTTATTTAAGAGAAGCATTATTACATGGTAAAGAAATAATTTCATTTAATTATTTATACAAAATACATTGATTTTTTGTTTAGGTGAACATGAAGAATTGAAATCTCCTTCTTCTCGTTTAGTTACTGGACGTATGGTTCAATGTGGTACAGGAGCTTTTGATGTTCTTACCAAATTATCTTCATGATAACAATAAATTAATATGTTATTGTTTGATTTTTTTTTCCTAGTGACTCCTTGTTTTCTTTTGTTCTTCAAGAAAAAAATTTTCTGTTATATGGACGTTTTGTTTTAGATATATCCTTATTTGTTTTATTATTCCATGACGATTCATCATACAATAGATCTTCAATTACTTTATTTAAGAAATGAAGTAATGAAGATCATTTTATTCTCATGTGTGATTTAATCTGAATCAGTTAAGTTCAGACTTTTTCAGAATAAAATAAAAAAATAAAAATGATTGAAAGACCAAGAATAATATGAATATTATCAAAATCACATAATTCTTTTCAAACATTATCTATTCATATCAATGTTCGAGATAGATATGATTAAAGAATATTATTCAAATGAAGTCTACATAAGCAACATTAAATAACAACTAAAAAGTAAAATATTTTTATTGTTATTTATCTATTTGTAAACATTTTGATGAAGAGCTTTTAAGAATAATTTCGATCGTTTACAATTGAAAATTTGATGATGTGTGAAAGAATGCTGATAAATCTTCAAAAAAAAGACAATAGTAGTATAAGTTTCAAGACATTGTCTGTCGTCAGGGCAGAATGCATAAGCTCGTTCTGTCTTTTCATATGATTTTTTTCTCTACAGTATTTGCATAGTATTAATGATCTTTGGTTATTCGTGATAATCACCATCAATTCTAGGTATTATTATTGAAATGACAAAACAGTACTAATTTCAATGTTGGTAGATAAAAGTTTCAAGTCTGCAACATAAAGTAACATGAAAATTACACCTAGCCTGTGAATTGTAAAAGAGATCGTTGACATTTCATTTCGTCATACGACACACGAAAAAAAAAACAATAGGCGTTCTTGCAAACTGAGTGAAGGTTTCCGAGTTTCTTGAATTATATAATGAATCAACTATAGCAGTTCGTGGAGTGAATGTGGATCTTATCGTTTTCACCCACACCCCACAAGTATCTAGTTATTGTACTTATTGATCATTTCAATGAAAAAATCATAAAAAATAAACAAATCCGGATGTGGATGTGGATTTGAATGTGCGTACGAGTCTTCTCTACATCGATACCCACACCCACATTCTCAAAAGGGCCTGCAAGTATATGAGTTTTGAATATGACTAGACACATAGATCCATCATTAGTGTTGAACAAATTTTTCACATGTCAAAATTCGAATCAAAGTTTTGATAGTGGGGGAGAGCAATACCCTCGAGTGTCTGATAGAATGTATAGCGCGCAAACACATCCATTTTTCTGCTTACGGTAAGACAGCATAGATTAATCACAAGTCATAATGAGTCATTTAGACGTCATGTCAACCGATGTGCCATAAAACGTGAACTATCACAATTTCTTGATGGAGAGCATAAAACATGATGCTATATGTCTAATCGACGACATGCATCAAGTTTTTTTGCTTACTGACATAGAAAAAATTCGATTCAAAACAAACATGACCTGACAACTTCATATCGGCAAATCCGCTCGATCCGTATTTGACAAAAATGATTCATCCATGCTCGATGTGCTTTTTTTTCTTCTTGTAACGTCAAATAAATCTGTTTGGTACATTCTTCAATTTATATAATACAGCTTCAAGAAACTTAACCGACGAATTTCTCTTATTAAACTTTTACTGAAAGTGAGTATGCTTGCTTGATTCTCCTATTACCAATCAGAGAACTCTTTCAAGGCCATACAGAATATGTCTCAAGTAGAATATAATACTACTGCTCAAACAAGGCGAAATCTCACTAGCAGGTAACTTCACTCTCTAGATGATTGTACACTTCATATTCTCTCTTTTCTAGCTTAGTCGGATCGAATAACAATGCTCTTATCAAAGGTAGAATCACAAGAGTTCTTTGTTTTTCATCTATAAAATATTGCATATATCTGTTACAGTCAGTGTTGAGCACTTTAATAAGGAAATGACCAAGTTCAATAATTGTACGTGTTGTACGAAAACTTTGTCCTGAAAATGAATGATATTCTTTGGTTTTTTGAAGCTTTTGCTTTTTTCTTCAATATCACTATGAGCATTTAACTCAACTTTAATGGCGAAAATGTCACGAAAAACTTGACCATTTGGCAATTGTTTGTATTTTGAAATGACGAAAACATTATTTTCATGTCGGCAAATCGTATCTTTGAGGAACATGCATTTTCTCAAAGAATTTCACCGAACTTCATTTTCTTTCTTAAAAATCTATTGTGCATCAGAAACGGATCCACTGCATTTACTTCAAGGGAGAAAAAGCGAGACTCCAGCTAGACACCACTGTACTTCAGCTGTACTTCAACTTATGGAGTGTACCTTTTCCCCCTTGATTTGCTTCCTCTCTAAAGACTTTTTTTTGCATTCTGTGCCATCCCTGTAGAAGAGGTCTGACTCATTTACAAATATGCATATTATACAAGCCAATATTTGACACAGAAAACGAAAAAAACACGAATGAGAGGTTGAAAACATTGCCCCACCAGTGCGGATGGAGGGTCGCAAATCATTTATCCGAATAATCGATGTCCAAAAATGAATGCTGAATAAGTATATCCCAAGAGCCGTTGTTCAATTGTAGCTATGAACTACGTGCTTGACGGCGATAAGACAGTTTAAAGAGCACATGATTTCTTTGCTAGCATATTTACTCATATATACAGATAAATATTGATGAAGAACGCCGAGTAGGAAAAAAAGATAAAAATGTCGAAGCGTTTCGTTTCGTCTATTGTCACCATATCATAGTTGACGTCGCGAAGAGAAAAGTATCTACATATCTATGAAATAGCGCACACTCGGAAGTGGGCGAATATGAGAGTCCGCTGTACTATCAAACTTTCATGTATTGTCATAACAATATCTTTGTCGCCAGAATCCAAAATTCTAAAATTATACTATAGGTCCTGTTGTGCTCTATCAATCAGTAAAGCACTTCGTTTCTGCAGAAGCAGCATTCTTCCAATGATTGCATTTGATGTGCTTTTTAGTATTAAATGAAAAGTAATGGGGACAAATTTCTATCACTGTTGTAATAAATGACCTTCGAATTAATTATGCACATTGTAGTCTCTTTTTTCTATTTTATTTTCTTCGCGTTTTATTTCGTTCAAATGAAAAATATCGATTATTCAGATTGACTCGGTACACGGACCGAGAAGTGATGCTAAGCAAAAGCTATTAGTAACAGGAAAAATGTAAAAGAAAAAAATGTACATGTTGTCTTGATCAATCGATAACATAATTTTAATGGCTTTTAGCATATGAAAGAATGACGAAAAGAGAATATGTTACCTTAAAATTAACCAAACAGGCACATCTGTACATAGGCATAACTCAAAAAAAAAAGAAAATGAGAGCACTAAATCGAATACTTAACAGCACTTAAGTTAAATGGTTAGCGAGACAACAATAAACGTAAGAGGTAACCTTCAAATGTCGTACTTTTGATGAAATAAACAGAACCATCAAAGTGTATTGATCGTTGATTATTTTGGTTGTTACATATGAGCAAGACTGATCGATTTAAACGATTTTCTATCTTGAAACTATATGTGTGGGTGTGTAGCGTATGAGTACAGCCGTGAGTTTGTGGGTTAAGAGAAGATCAGGACCCATACATCTAGTATTTCATTCTCTTCAAGTCATGCGCTAGAAATATTTTTTTTGCAAACAATTCAGTAATTTCGAAGTCCAAATAATTTGTCTGTGCTTGAGACTATCTACAAATCAAGTTATTGTATTCTTCTCTGGCAGAAGCATTACTAATGTCAACAAACGTTATATTTCTGTCATTTTGTTTTGAGTATTGATAAATACACGTTTAGTAGTCAATGTTCCTTTCACATGAATCGAATGCCTCAATATTTATCATAATGAACAAAAGATTTTTTTCTCGATCACAGTTGTCTTCCAAATTGAGCATGCCGAAGAAATCTGCAAGAAATTCTGGTGTATCGAAATGATATATGAGAGGCATATCGATGAAGAATAGTAGCTATTGCTAACTAGTCATTTCAAGTAACTAAAATTTATCTGTCTACTTTTATCGACAATATATCATATCAGTCGTCTGGAACATATCATTCGAAAGCTTCATTTTACCCTACATATAGTTGCTAATGAACCGTATACGTTCATACAACAGAGACAATACAGAAAGAAGTGTATGATGATCCATTATGATCATAATGCATCTCAATAAACATATCATTTCATTTTGAAGCTTTTATGCATTTCTGTCATTGAAAGCTTTTGATTCATTATGTAACAGTTTCTTGTGCTTCTAATTTATATCAAAATCAGATATAATCTTATTTCACGGATGCATTTGATAACAACGATGTATACGTGACGTGTGTCTCTATTCATGTCTATATTTCTGATTTCACATTAAGTTGGTTCCTCTTACAAAACTAACACAAGAAATGAGAAAAAATATTAAAAGAATTTCAATAATAATTATTTCGGTTTATTTCTAATTAATCGAGGCTTCTTGTACTATACGTAGATGGGTTTATACGATACAGCATGATGCACAGTATACCAATATCTAACGAAACTGCTACATATATTGACTAAGTAGCACATGATCAATGTTGATCTTGTCATTCATTCGATTTGTCATCTGATTTATGCAACAGCTTACTTTATATGTTGTTAAATGTATGACATCGATCGACATAGTCAATGAATAGTCATGAGTACCATTGTTGATCCTTTTGAAAACATGAAAAAAGAGAAATAAGAGAGTGTGCAAGTGAAAGCATCGATAGGAGTACAAATAAATTCTAGTTTAGCTGAAAAATCTTCTCACCAAAACAGATATGAGAAGGTTAAACTTCTTGTGTCTTCAAGTCAGTCAAATTCCTTTTTGATAAATAGAGACACTGATCTCTGAAGATTAGAGATATATATGCAAACTTTTTATTGTACGGAACGGCTACGATAAATTTTATGAACTCTTAAAATATGGTAGAGTAAAGCAGAGAGATAGCGATGTAAAGATGCTATGTGTGGATGAAAGTAAAGAATAAAATGACAATGAGAATTCCGTTGTTCTCCTCTTGACATCACAACATTGAACTTAAATGAAATAAATCAAACAATTGTTTCTATTCTACAAGTCTATAAAGCAAAAAATAAATATATAGTCAATTTTTGAGTTCTTGCTGGACAAGACTTATCCAATAGGCAACACCGAATGGAATTGCATTATCATTAAAGTTATAAGTAGATGAATGCATCTTACCAGATATTTTTTCATCATTAATACCCGTGAAGATAAAAGCACCAGGTCGTTTCAAAAGCATGAAAGCAAAATCTTCACTACCCGTGGCAAGTTCACTGTTCTTGTTGACATTTTCTGTACCAACGATCGCTTCAGCAGCTTTGATTGCTCGTTTTGTTTGTTCATCATGATTAACTAAAGCTGCTCCAGTTCGATTATACTCTACATGAGCCGTACAACCGAAAGCCGTAGCTAGATTGTTTGCTAATTCATTGATACGTCGTTCGATAATATTACGAACAGGCTCAGTGAAGCTTCGTGAAGTACCTCCAATGCGTAATTCAGATGGCATAACATTAACCGATTGGAAAGAGCCACCTTGGATGGCGCCAACACTGATAACTGCTAGGTCAATCGCATTGATATTACGACTAACAATGGTTTGTAGCGCCATAATGAATTGTGCTTGTAATACTGTAACATCAGTTGCAAGATGAGGTGTTGCGCCGCCATGTCCGCCAGTACCTCGGAATGTTACATACCAACGATCGGATGCTGCCATCAGAGGACCAGATCGTATAGAAAATGTTCCCATACGTTCTGGAATATTGTGCAATCCATAGACAGCATCAACGGGAAATCGTTCAAATAGGTTGTCATTAATCATCGCGATTGCACCTTTAAGTCCTTCTTCGGCTGGTTGAAAGATAAACTGAACAGTTCCACAAAATGAATCTCGATGTTCGGCTAAATACTTCGCAGCACCAAGAAGCATAGCCGTGTGTCCATCATGGCCACAGGCATGCATTGTACCAGGTTTTGTCGAAACATACGGCACATTATTTTCTTCGGTAAGTTGCAGAGCGTCCATGTCGGCACGAAGACCAATCGAACGATCACTTGACTGTAGACTCTTCAATGTTCCAATAACGCCGAACTGACCGACCCCTTCAGTAACCGTTAGCCCCCATGTTTTGAGTTTAGAAGCGACAAGAGCTGATGTTCGTTTTTCCTCCATAGCCATTTCTGGATGAGCATGAATATCTTGACGGATCGTTGCCAATTCTATTTGCATACCACGTACTTTCATAAGTAATGAGTCATTCATTTTTCTTTTTGATTTACAAAAATCGAATATTATCCCTAAACAAGCGAAGCAATCTGAAAAAAAATACAAAAAAATTATCAGAAAATTCATGTGATAATACGATACGATTAATAAGGCTATAAGACGAAATGAAAATCAAATCGTGGAGGACGGTTTGAACTAGAAGTAACATTTCATCATAGGTAGACACATACTCATACAAGAACAAAATCAACTTCATACCTTGTTTGACTCTTCTCTGATCTATGCTGACATTTTACGAATTCAACCGTCAGTTTTTGATCTAACTCGTATTGATGAAAAGCTACTGTAACATGAAGAATTATCACAACGCGAGAAAAAGTTCTCTTGATTATGAAATCAACCAAGCAGAAAATCGACAGCATATAAGGTTCATAATAGAGATCAAAACTTTGGGCATAGCTATACCTAGCAACTGAATATCAAGCATAAAAAGAATCTGGTCGAAAATCATGAATTTTTCTTTAGTCTGGAAACAGTATTAAATAAAAGTACCTTAACAGTATACAACTGCTGTGTTGTCCGTTTCTTCAGATCTGATCACTGTCGTTGACAAGAAATTTAGAAACATCAGAATTCCCTGTGTTCTCTTGGATAAAAATTAGATAACTAACAGTGGATCATTCCCATGTGTTCATTCGCTCTTGAGTCGAAACTTTGTGCATTTCGTAGACCTTGATGAATTATGTCTACTATAAAAAAAAATGTTGTGTTCGTACCTTATTTATGAGGAGATCGAATATCTTTACTATTATAAGATACATTCTATCAGAAAAAAATCATTGTCGTGACCAATATAAATTGGAATGAGCTGATATTTTTCTCATGTATAGTGGTACTCATGTGGTAGATCATGAGCAAGTTTGAGCCCAAATGATCTTGTAAAGACGAGTCATCTCAAATATTAATGGAATCTCCAATGCCATTAATATCGTATGCACTGTTTTATGACCTACACACGAACGAAGTCTCTGTATATTTAAATTACAATATAAGTATTGCTACGGACGTCTAGATAGACGAACAGCTAAACAAATTATGTTGAGAAGCTACAATTATCAAGTATCTGAAATAGTATTACGACATTGGTGCTCATTATTCATACAGTTTCAATTCTGTCTCTTAATTTTGAGACGTAGTTTAATTAATGGCATTAAAATATAGATTGATATTTAAGATAACTGGTCTTTACAAGATCATTTGGGCTCAAACTTTCTCATGATCTACCACATGAGTACCACTATACATAAGGAAAATCTCAGCTCGTTCCAATTTATATTGGTCACGACAATGATTTTTTTCTGATAGAATGTCTCTTATGATTGTAATAGTAGAGATGTTCGATTTCTTCAGAAATAAGCTAGGAACACAGCATCTTTTTTATAATAGACATAATTCATCAAGGTCTACAAAATGCGCAAAGTTCCAACTCAATAGCGAATGAGTACATGGGAATCATCCACTGTTAGTTGTCTAATTTTTATCCAAGAGAGCACAGGGAATTCTGATGTTTCTAAATTTTTTGTCAACGAAAGTGATCAGATCTGAAGAAACGGACAGTACAGCAGTTGTATACCGTTAAGGTACTTTTATTTAATACTGTTTCCAGACCGACGAAAAATCTATGATTTTCGACTAGATCCTTTGCTCTATTCACATCAATACAATATCATTCATATACTTCGTTTTGACTTTTGCTTTGTATTCTCTTTGACAACAACAGAATGTTATGTATGAGATGCTACACATGTATTTTTTTACATAATTAGAGATACAACTGTTTTCATGATAGCAACAATAATACTTGATAGTACTATTGGCTTACTTTGCCTGTGTGAAAAAGAAAACTTTGAACAAACTTTTACTGCTAACCAAAAAATCAGCCCACTTGATTGAACCGTCTTAGAGATATTTCATTTTTTATTGTAGAGATTTTTATGGTTCACCCTTTATATCAAATGTGAAACTGAAAAGTATTTTCAATTTGACATAGCCTTCTACGAATCCAAATAAAACTAGCTAATAACTTATTTGTTACAAGATGGTAACAAGATTGAATTCTTCTAATAATCCAATTAAACTGTACTTGAAGTAAGTCAAATTTCAGGAATATGATAGTTCTCTCTATGGATACATTCAATGCAAAAGCCAAAGATTTACTTACTGGGAAAGGTATACAATAAAAGCTATTCAATCTGTAAGAAGCTCATATAACTACTGAATGTTCTTTGAAAGTAATATATATATATACACCGTATAAGAATTACTTCATGGATTTCAGATTATTCTGAGATTGTTTTCGATCGAAACCCTCGATCTATGAAAGATCCTCCTATAATAAAACACCTCCACGTAAGGTAATGTGTAACTTACAATAGAAGACTGCAGTCTTCTGGAAAAAAGATTCGTTTAAATCTTTTTTTTATCATTTTTTTTCGTTGACTAAGTACAGGATACTGCTTACTCAAGAATAAAAGTGGCGAATGAATAGAAAAGAAAATAATAACTTACTTACCTGTAAGAGAAATATATTTTCTAAGGAGAAAGAAAAATACTATTTTCAGCTTGAATTAATACGAGAGATGAAAAGAACTATAAACTATTGGAGCAGAAAACGGTTAATATTAAACCTCATTTATATCAACAATGAATTATTTTTATCCTTATGTTCTTATGGACAGTGAATTTCAAATGCTAAGTTCGATGATAGTTTTAAAACATATGTTTTCTGTCTATTTTACTTTGTATATTTGAAAAATAGAAAAAACAATCACTATGTTCCCAAACTTATTAATAATATCTAACTATAACTATTTGCTTCTTTCTCATTTCTGCTGACGGTAACAGAAAAAATTTTAAAAAATTAAAATTTTGTTTTCCTTTAAATAATAAATAGAAAGATGAAAAAACTGATATTATCAGTAATGTTCTACCTCTTCACATGTATCTACATTTTCAATGCCAGAGTATAAAATTCCGATGAGAGTACTAAAAATTTAAAGACTAACTCATATTGAATCATTTGTTTGAGTAGCGGATCTACTACCATATACATGGATTCTTAACTGACCATACGAAAAGATACGATACAATCAGTTGACAAAAATATGCGAAACAATCCATGCATAGAAATGAAAAGACTATAAGGAGCAGATAATTGAATGGATGGTCTACCTAAGCAAAACAGAAAATTGATAGAAATGATACGAAAATGAACAAAATAGAACTGAAGAGGAAAAAATGAAAAAAATATACATTTCAACATGTAAATAAACGATTGGATCATTACAATAACTTTTTAGGGCATGGGTTAAGAGAAGATCTTAACCTACTCTACATTTACTCCACCATTCCTATACAAACTGTTGAGGAATGAAAAGAAATCGTTCAAATAAACATAAATGGAAGAATACAATTGAAAAAGTGGAAGCAAAGCATATCGTACTGTCTGCCAAGAAAGAATGAAAATTGGTACGATTCAATGTTAATGGATGAAGAATAAAAGAAAGGTGTACATAGAAAAGGTCGAAACTCAAAAGGTCGAAAAAAAACGTCGAGAGATGAAAATGTCGAAAGAAAACATATCGAACGTATGAAAATGTCGAAAAATTTGAAGATGACGTAAATAGGCAATGTATTATTTAATTGTGTCTCCAGGATGAAAAGCTTAATACAGACATAAATTATTACCATTCGATGCTGGTCCTCACGGTCGGTCAAAAATGCCATCGACCATTGCAACACAACATAGTATCAATACTTCAAATGAACGCTACTGAAGCAATGAAATTGATTTTAATCAATTATTGGATGCTTTGTCATTAATTGTAGCAAAGTAAAACCAATAAACTTTACTACCTAACATGCATTCTTACTTTTGCATCCCTTTTGTTAATTTCTCTATTTCTCACAATATCACTTGTGTGTAGAGCCCATTGAAGCTGAGTCCAGAAATGTTTAGGTCCGATGGGGTCTAGCCACGAAATATTAATCAATCAGGTCCAAATCCAACAATTTTGATTGACTGAGTCTGGGTCAGAGTCCACAAAAATTTTAACAGCCGAGTCTGGGTTCAAGAATTTTTTAGTCAGGTTCAGTAATTCTTGGACTTGATGGACTCTAGTTGTATCTGACTTTTCAAAATATTTCTCACTTTTCAAAATATCAGTAAAGTTATTTGCATGTAAATAAACTAAACTATCGTATACTAACATTTTCGACATTTTTTTTTCGACGTAACTATCGTTCGATGTTTTCATCATCTGACATTTTTTCTTTCGATGTTTTGTTTTCGACTGTTTTATACCATTCAAAAATAACATTGAGAAAGAAAGTAGAAATAGAATGACTTTGTACATTAGTTTTTCCAATGTTGTAGTTCTGATTTGAAACTAGCTCACGCATTGGTATTATATGATATATGTGAAAATTATTGTCCATAGGCTTTGTTACCAAGTGCATACACAAATCAAATCAACAATCCACTGTTAACAATTGCTTTCTGATCATTGAGTTCAGAGACGTTTGAATAAGGATTTCGTGCAATCATTATCTCTAAATTAAGATTACGGAGAAAGTAAACGCGACAAAAATCCAATAGATATAATACTACAAATAAAAGCCGATCAGAAATGATTTAAGAATCTTTTTACATTAATTACGCATTGTTTTAACTGTGCGCAATGCATAGCTGCATTGTCTTTCATTTGAATTGTCAGTTCATCCTGAGAAAATTCAGTTTTGTAAATATTGGCATCGTCACCGTTGATATTTTCTTTTAGTATCAGACAATTTTTGTCTTAGAAGCATCGTATGATAATATTTCCTAGTCTTACCTGTTGTATCCAACAGACAAGAATACCTCGATTGTTTTTGGTGGATGAAAAATTTTCTTCTAAGAGAATACATAAAAAATTCTCAACTGTATCGGGAAAAAACGACAACTTTTCCAAGTAATGGACTGATATCATGTCGTCTTCGAGAGATTTCCTTTCATTTTAGAATAGTAATAAAAGTTCTCCGAAAATAAGAAAACCTAAATCATATTCATAAACCTTTAATGCTTACTTTTCATATTCCATACTCATCAAAAAAAAATAAGACCACTCTGAAAAACGATTGAGTTTTGCCGAACCTTTTATGGATTCTGCTATCGGATAAAACACAAAATCTTTGGTATGGTTCAGACTGAAATTGGGTTTGATAGAGAAATCACGCAATCATTTCTCATTTTTCCTAAAAATGCTTCTATTCTGTAGTTAAAATATCAGGTTATTGTAATGGTTTATCATTACACCTTTCTTAGTTGTATCATAAAGCTCTGCACTTGAACGGTAGTTCAATGTTACAATACCGTCTACTATACCATTATATATGTACCATTATGACTGTGCCCTCACGACTATACTCTCATGCCTACACCCTTATCACTATGCCCTTATGTCTCTATTCTTATCACTTTACCCTTATGCCTATACCTTTATTTCTATACCCTTATATCTACACCTTTACATCTTTACCCATATAGCTAAGTCCTAATGAATATATGCTTATATCAATACCCTTATATCTATACTTTTATTACTATACTCTATTTCCCAAAATCATATTATGGTTTTTTAATAAGAAACCTTTTCTATCTAGAATGTTGAACACTCGGAATTAAACAGACCCGTTTATTTTGACATAATATCAAATATCTCATTCGATAAAAAAGAATTCNTTTTTTTCGAAACTCGATTTCTTTGCCGAGATAACTGGATAACACTGATGTCAAAAAGCGCTAAATTCCGAGTTATTGCAGGAAAATGTCTCGGAAATCCGAATAAAATCGAATTTCGAAAAAAACGCTATATACATTTCTAGATTCAGGTCTTCTCTTTTATTTAAAACAAAAGGTAGCTCTCTACCTCTTCGACAGTCCGAGAAATCGGTACCTTACGAAGACCACCATTTTGGGGACTAATTTGTCAATAACTCGTTAAAATAAAAACGTTCTGAGTCAAAAATTTGCAAGAAATTAAGTTAACACAACACACATGTTGCCTGAAAATTTCAGCCAAATCGATCCACGAATAACGAAAAACGATTCCTGAGGGGGGGCCTCCCCTTAAGTTAGTCAAGATGATTGAGAAAACAGAACGAAAAAAACAAAATATACGAACGAAAGAAAAAGGAAGAAGAATAGATGAAAGACAGAACAGAGAAGGAAAAAAAGAGAGCGTCAAGTTCTTACCTATGAATAACCATTTAGAAATAATCATCGCTTGTTTATAATGTAAGAAACATGTTTACTGGAACTAATCAAAGGCCTACAGTACAAAGTTAATCACTCTAATAGACTATTCAATTTAATGGAATAGAATTTAAATGAACAAAATAAGATAAATAAAAGCAAAAGCTCATTTTTCTGTTTTTCTTAGTTCATGACTCAATAGAAACTCTCTTAGGCACTTCTTCTTGCACTATTTAAATTTGAGGTATATTTTCATAGTCAGAAACATCTTAATATTTCCATTTTTTCAATTCTTAATTGCATAATATAAGCAATAAAAGTCATATGTTCAAGCTAATTTAAAATATTTTTTAGTATTGTAAAACAGTAATCAGTTGCGATGAATCACCAATATTAATAATTGACAATTTTTTCGTTGAAATCGCTAAGAATCACCAAAACTTAGGCAATTTTGACGACATGGGTTATAACACATAATTATTCATAAAATTCAACTATTCTCTAAATATTTGTATGACATATGGTACACAACGTCAGGTTATCAGAATATGAGATTAAATGACAACAATCAAGAAAAATCAACAATCGTTTATAGTTTTTAGATTTTAAGAAAAAAGCTAAAGAACGTAACAACCTCACATGATTTTTGTTAGTTTCTTGTAGCAAAGTCATCTCGCTGTTAAATATTATTTGTTTCAGATAATTATTTGTAAAATTTCAACAATTCAGCACCATCTGTTGATGTTATTTCTAGTAAACCTAAAGAAACAAATTTTATTATGACACCATGGCAGTAGACGTCTATACATGGAAAGAATGCTGTCTAGAGACCCAGTCTTCATGTAAATAGAAAGGAAAGCAAAATGACGTGAGCAACGAAGCGTTCTTGTTTTTCTTTTGTATATCTTTGCTATTAGGCGTGGGATATCTTGTTTGATGACGAAAACTTAATGATGTTTTCTCTAATTAATACTTACTATTGAAATAATTTCAAGGTAATATATATTTGAAAGTAATTTAAACTTATAAGTGTTTTATAATACACGAAGAAATTTGTATTTTTTATATGTTTTTGCATTGTATCGTTAAAAAACAATGTCTTTTTTTTATTCTCTATCATATGACTACGGTGAGTCACCTTAGAAAAAAACAACCGTAATGTAATTGCACATGAGTTTCTTCATACCACTGTCTATGATGAAATACTTTCATCAAGGAAAAGAGTACACGGATATATCAGATAGGCGATTGCGGTACGTGATACGATATTCATGAATATATAATAAAGAGAAAATCTAAAACTCTTTTTGTTCCTTTTAAAATTTGTTGTTTAGACCTATATAGTTCTTAATAGATTAATAACAAAATTCACGTGTAATGTCCTGGTCCATAAATAAACTTATACATACACGTAAGTGTAGTCAGTTTTTTTTCGAAATATTGTTTTTAATCTATAAATTTCCTTCGTTTCTTCTTTTCTGTATAGAAAGATCATTAAAATGGCAAAAGATAGAAGTAGCATCTATCTGGAACGAATTGGATAGAGTTAAAACTATTCGTCATCGTACATTTTCTATTTGGCCTCATCCAGCATTATTTCGTTCTCGAATGATTGACGCTGGATTTTTTGGTTGTAATGTTGGCGATAGAGTTATTTGTATTTATTGTGATCTTATATGTCAACATTGGAATATTGAAACAGATGATCCATGTGAAGTACACAAAATTCTTTCACCAAATTGTGTACTTGTCAAATCTATATTTCACTGTGATTCATTACATCACAATCATATTGTATCCACCGTACCAAGTTACATTGATTATGTAGATCCTAAAAAACGTTCAGCATCATTTTGTACTTGGTATAAGAAAGGATTTCCATCGACAGACAAACTTGTTGATGCAGGTTTCTTCTTCAATGGTTCTAAAATAATTTGTTTCTATTGTAATGGTTCATTCGATAATTGGGAATTAAATAATCATCCAATCGCTGAACATGTACGATGGTTTCCATATTGTAATTATGCTAGACAATTATGTGGTGAAGACTTATATCATAAAATTCAACGAGCAATAAAACATATGTCAGGTTTGTAAAGTCTATTGTAACCAACAGTTTTCAATAAAAGAAATTTATTGTATTAATGAGTCATTATTTTTATTTATTTAGAAAATGTTAGAACCAGTGAATTTAAAAATGATCATCATCGATCGAGTATACTTGATGATAGTTTACTCTTAAGACTCGTTGCTGATTATCTTGATTTACCTGTTTCGATATATTTATTAGAAGTGAAAAAAATTGAACGATCAATTGTTGAACGATGTTTGAAAGATCAACTTCAACACAGATGTAAAAAGAAAAAAACGAAATTTTTTTGTTCTTTTCTTATGAATATATATGGATTTATTTAGACTATGATTTTATTGATGGTTGTGATTTATCTATTAGATGTGAAATTATCAAAAAACAGATTGAACATATTGAGATCAAGAAGAAAGATGTTGTTATTCCAAGTATTGCATTGAAAGAGCTTTATCAGAACAGACAACAATCTTGCAATGGTGAACAATCATCGTTATTTTACGTATGGAATAACACAAATCAATCGTATCCTGGTAAGAAAGATTTTTCTTTTTCAATCAACAAACTAAGTTTAAATTTTAATTGAAATATAGAAATATTAAAATCATTTGAAGATAATCTTCAAAGTTACAAAAGAAGTCGACAAAGTATGTTTTAAATTAAAATTAAAATTAAAATTAAAAACAAAAACCTTTATTTTATTTTTCTTTCCAAACATAGAATTGGGTGCTGAATTTACTGAACAACTAAATATAACTATTGAACGAGAAAAATCCTTAAAAAATTGGTCATGTATCAAACCATCACAATATGATTTGACCAAAGGAGGTTGGATACTATATGGTACAGAAGATTACTCAAAATGTCCTCATTGTCATATATATTATTACAATTGGAAACCGAATGATAATCCTTTAGTTATTCACAAATATCTTTCACCATTGTGTTTATTTGTTCTTGCACTCAATCCATTCAATTCAAATCCAATACCAATAAGAACAACGAAAGAAAATTTCACAGATGAAAATATTATAGATGCTGAATCACAACCATATGATGGCCTTGTTCAAACAAGGTATGAATCTGTATTCATGCTGTCTAAAAGACAAAAGTCATTCGAAACTTTTCCTGGTGGTTGTCCAATCAATGCTCATGAATTAGCAATATCTGGGTGGTACTATCCAAATACGAGTATATTTATCAAATGCTTCTATTGTAAACGTAGTGTACCTGCTATACATAGCAGTTTACGACCTCATCCATATTTAAAAGATCTACATCGTCTTTTTCCATGTCGTTATGTTCGGCAATTGAATGACATCGATTCACAATTACCGATACAACAAGGTAAAATATCAAGTGTACACATAAAGAAAATAACTTTTTATATTCAATTTTTTTTACATAGTTTCTCATAAATGTACATGGTGTATGGTTGGAGAAAAAAGACTTGTGGCATTACCATGTCGTCATTTTTGTTTATGTGAATCATGTGGTCTAATCAAACGCTTATGTCCAGTCTGCCAAAAAAATGTAACTGTATATGTTATTGTCTATTCAGCTTGATAACATAGCCAATGCATTCAATAAAATACAATTTATTGCTCAAATTCAATTAATTAGGTGAAAAACCTTCACCGATGATGAAAAAATATTCAGTGATGTTCCATTATGTTGGTTACATATCGAAGAATTAATTACTTGCCAAATATTATTACTATATAATCCGGATATAATTATAACATAAGAATATTATTTATACCTGATGAACACAACTACTAATTTTTATATATTGATTTAGTCTTAGGAAAGAGTTTTTTTAATTTTTCATTCAATAGAAAAAAGGTCAGAGAGGGAAGTAAAAGACATACAAGCATATTGAGTAATTGTAAATAACACAGACAAATGTTGGGTATGACTCGTAATTTACGCAGCTCATACGTAAAAATCAATAGATTAAATATATCCACCCGGCAAAAAAAAGTTCCACACAGTATTTTTAACAAATTATTACTATAAGTTAACTTTTTGAGAAAAATAATTATATATTCAGATAGCCCACGGAATTCTCTACAACTCTATTTATAAACATTTTGAATTGCACNATGAGACCTACATATGGGCAAAATTTCAAGACATAATTTCGTCATTTGAATTTTTTGTAAATACCTTGTCATAGGCCGAAAAATCAGTAAAATGGCCATAACCCTCGAAAGAAGCAACATGGGCCTAAATCCTCTTAGGCTTTTTCTTAGCATACTGACCCCTACATATGGGCAAAATATAAGCAAAATCGGCGTGAATCACTTGAAACGGTTCCCTCGTAAGTCGTTTATTTTTCAGTGAGATAATTAATAGTTGTCTGCAAATGTCTATAGTAATCTGAATTAAGAATAGTGCAAGATAGGATAGAATCAGGACAAGAGGAAGAGTTTACAGATCAGTTATATCCTAACATACTCTGCAGTTTAGAAGTAGAACTAGAACAAGAAAAATGTACAGTATGGTAGGATGAGAGTAAGAAAATTTGTTTTAGACAAGAATGCAGAGCACGAAAAAAAAAATTAATGTGCGCATATCTCTTATAAATGATGCCTTGGATTTTTTTCTCTGAAATTGCTAAAACTATCGATGCTAACTAAATGTTCATTTATCAGTTCATGAATATCACCTAGAATCAGAATTTTGTTTTTCTGAAACAAGTTAAAAATATTTGCTTTTGTTTTAGCATAATACATTTACAAGGAAATTAATTCAATTACTTGATATTAACGATGATACTGTCTTAAATGTATCTCCTTTAGCTACAATGCCAACAACTGATCGTTATGTTGCTTTACAACAACGGCAACGTGTCATTGAAATGTTATTACAGAAAATTGAGGTTAGATTCCTTGTGTATTAATGAATATAACAAAATAATTTTTTTTTTACTTCTAGATGTTACGTGAACGTTTAACACGAAAAGAAGATTTATTACATGATTACGAAAACGATTTAGGCAAATTACGCCAAGCAGAAATTTTATTACGTGAAAAAGATTTTCTTTTGCAAGATCTTGAAGTAATTTTTTCAATATTTTATTTGAATTCTAAAAGTAAAAATTTCTTTTTCAATTTTTTTTTTCTTCTAGACTGATAAACGATCAAAAGATGATGAAGCATTATTTCTTCGAAATACTTTAAAAGAAACAGAAGATCACTTAAATCAAGAAAAACGGTTAAATTCATCAATCAAACATGGTCGAGTATGTTAAAAGTGTTTATATTTCATTAAAATATTTTATTCAATTAAGAATATTGATCAACCACAATCAAATGAATTAATTCGACGAAGTGGTACTTCAACAACACTTCAAAATCGTTATTCAACAGATCCAACAACAAAAGTTCGAACAATAAAACGAGATATGAATCAAAAAATATGTCGAAAAGATTATGAAATAAAAACATTAAAACAAGTTAGTTCAAAACAAAAGAAATTATCTGATGCACAAAAAAAAAAACAAATAAACTATGTATTTTGTTTTTTAGGAATTACATGAAGCTTTAGATACACTTTCTGAACAGTCAAATAAAGTTAAACTACTCGAATTACAATCGAAAGTAAAACGAACAAAAATTTTATTTTAATATACAAAATTTTTTATCAATTTTATTTAAGGATTTTTCTAATGGCACAAATTTCATGGCATCACATGACTCTTGATATTCATTCACCTTTCTATTTTTTATTCTATTTGCTTGTGTGCGTCTTGTAGAAGCAATAAATAAACAACACACAAAAAAAAAGTATTTGGATAGAACATCTTTTATGCTCGTTTAATAAATCATAATTATTGATATTAAATGGAAGTTTTCGATTATATTCTTTAAGACATTCTCTCAAAAATTCGATCTTGGACTATGAATATTTAAATAGCATGAAACTTTGAAAATATGTTGGGACTGTGGCAAAGAATCTATGCTAAAATGATCAGCTCTATATCATGATGTTTTCGAGAGATATTTATCATCAAACAAAGGTCTGTGGGTTTTCATTCTATTTATTTGATTTCTTTTTTATTTGAATGAACATGTCAGATTGTAGTGTCTGTCTGAGTTCATGTTTTTGAAAATGCTTATTTTTTATGCATAGGAAAAGGATGACATGTTGAATACGTCGACATAATCTAAAAAAAACAATCATCGCTTTTTAGAACTACTTTTTTATATTATAATAAAAGGATTAATTTAAAAGAGAGAGATGCTGCAACTTCATATGATCATTCAAATAAAGAAAAAGCAATTGGTTACAATGCAGTTCCTTCGAGAATTCTAGGATGTACGATCAGAAAAACATATTTTTCAATTGAAAGACGACCAAAACCATCGAATGCTTTTGAAAAACACGACGTACTAAATGAAAAATTTAATTGTTTGTGAAAGATTCAATCTCAAGCTAAACTTCTATGGATTTATCTTGATTTTCATTAAAGAGACATAAGTAAAATCTTTTTGAAGTAGGATGAACGTTTAATTAAATATATAGACATTGATTTATAGATTTAATTGCATCGTACTCTAGTAATTCTATCATATCCGCTTGATGTACTCATTGAAAGGACAGTATCATCAACATCTGAAGAAAAGCAACAATGACAGAAATTTTCATTTTTGTCATTATATCTTCAGTGTCTATTCAGAACAAATATCAAATAAAAGGAAGTATTGACGAAAATTTTTCTCAAATCATTGAAGGTACTCATATTTAATATTGTGTTGATCAATGAAATATGATTGACATTTTAAAAACTCGGATTCGAATATGAAAATGATCAAGTCCTATAATGAGTTCTGAACTTGTTTTTATTTAGATAAACCAAACGATGCACATGCACACACACACAAACAAAACGAAATAGAATAAAATGCTAATGCTAGTGAATATGTATGAATTTATGTACAGAAAAACAAGAACGCAAAAAACACATAAAAATAAACTAAATCAATGTTATCAGTCACATTTCTTCACCTAAAATTAAAGCAAAAAAATATATTTTAATCCACTGAATTTACTCAAATAATAAAAAAATTCTCTTAATGAAAAATATTTTTATCATCGCAATATAATTTATCACTGATTGTCTATAAGTAAAGCATCCATCCACTTTTTCGTTTTGAACTTCTCTATGAAGCAAATTTCTAAAACCTTGATCATAATAGAACATTTACTCATGTCAATTATAGTTTAAACTTGAATGATATTTTCAATGTTTTCATTCTTTTGTAATTTCTCCTAATCATGATTCAAAACAAATGATATCTATCGACTATTTTCTATTCGAAAAGTCTCCTGTTTACGAGCATCTCTAATTAAGCACACTGATAAATAGCTGTAAGTAATTCGATAGGAAAAATTGTTAATATATATCAGGAACATTGACGAAGAAGGCCATCTCTATACTAAAGATGTTGTATTTTTCTTGAATAGTTGTTGACTAAAACTAAAATATATCTTTTGTTTTATAATTAGCCAACAAGTCATATTATTTAATCATAGATGAAATCAGTTAGAGCAGACAGAATAATCGGTCTACACATATCTATTTTAATCATATTCACGATAAGTTCTCAATTGAACTATACTGGCAGTTCGATTGCTACCCTTAAATCTCAAATATGAATAAATAAGACCAATGACATAAACACACAAGTAGATATCTATAAATTAAACTGATAATCAGTCGACAAATCATCAATACTTGTATCAGACCAGACAAAATATTTCAGAATTTCATAAACCATTTATCTTCATGCAACAGTGCTCTTAAATATACATATAACTCTTACCGTGATTACTTTCCACGTTTATGATTATATTTTAATGGTAATTTTCTATCATGACGTTTGATAGTTTCTAGAATTAATTTAGTTGCATGTTCAATTTCTGCTTTTGTACCTCGAATAGACATCGGTCTTCTTGTACTTTTTCCTTCAGCTTCATATATAACAATCCAAGCATTTGATTCACTTCTAATTTGATGTAAACGTGATGAATTTGGTCCAAATAAAGCTCCAGCTTGTGCATCAGATAAAGTCCAATGTCTTTCACGTAATGGTTCAATTGTTTCCGTTTGATGATTATTTATATCATTATCAAAATCTTCTACGTCTTCATCTTGATATCCACTTAATTCTTCTTCATCATTTGTATTATTAACAATAGCAGGTGTAGTTAGTGATCGTTGTATAGCTAATTGAAGTTGTCGATCAGTGAAACCACCATAATCGTCAGCTAATGAAACATCATAAAATTCAGGTGAGTAAAGAAATGTTGCTTGTTGTGTTGAATCTACAAGTGAAGTTTGACATATATTTTGATAAATTTCTATTAAACATTCAATAATTTGTTCGTATTTAGATCCAGATAATAAAAGTATACGCTCCGTTGATAATGGAGCACATGTTGGATAAACCTAATAAATTAAAAAACAAACACAAGTACACACACACACACAAAACTCATCATTTAAATTAAAAATTTGATGATTACTTTTAAATTATTCAATGCATATTTATCTTTAAGCATTTTTGCTCGACTACCTAATTGTCCTATAATAAAAGGTGCATATGATTCATGAATTAATACACGTAATTCATTTGTTTGTGATAAAATTTGTTGAATAACTAAATTTAATTGTTGAACATTATTTGTAACAAGTATAGCTTCTGGTGCTGATGGATGTGTTAATAAAGTATAAAGAGTATTATTAATTGAATCAGGTAATTGATCAGCATGTTCACGTTTTATTAAAATACGACATGGAATAGTTGATAATATATTTGAATGAATAAGATATGGTCGATCATTTAATTTAACTTGTTGACAATTAATATGAAAAAATAAATTTGATATAGATTCAATTTCATTTTCAATCCATGATAATCGAGAAGACATATTTATTATCTCGGATGATGTCATAGGTACTAGAACAAAAAGAAAAAAAGAAAAGAAAATGATATAAAACAATTTTTTAAATGAAATTATTTCGAAAATTTTATATAAACCTGTTTTATCTATTAATCGTTCATCATCAAGTAAAACATAAAGTGTTTGTCGAAATGTATCCAATCGTTCATAGGATGTATCTAATTCAATTAATGTATTTAAATACATATCTTGAATATGTTCAATCATTTCGAAATGCCATTTATTTAAATCATTTTTTAATTGAATATATTGATCGTCGAATGAACGAGAAAGTAAATTTAAAGTTGTACGGAGTTCAATTTTTTGATCTTTCATTATAAATTTACTCAAATAAATTAAACAAAAAAAAAATATTTTTGTTTTTATCTTCAATAAAAACTTTCAAATAGAATTTAATGTATAAATTCAATGGATTTAGAATAATATGTAATGAATAAAGATATGGAAAGAAAAAGAATGAAAACAATGTGATGAAAGTCATCGATTGAAAAAGGAGAAGAAAACAAAGAACATTAGAAGAAGAACGGAGATAATTTACGTATTACAACACGACTGATATTTGTTAGATGCATATCTATTTCACTGATAAATAAACAAGCGATTATGAATGAAACCAATAGTGATTAATACTGAGTCACAATCGGCTCTTCTGTTTATTACTAAAGAAAAATCATATCTTTTATTATTCTTTTGATTATTTTGAAGTCAATAGAATAGCAATTTTCTTTTGAATTTTTTCAAAATTTTACTCTAAAAATCTTATATTGGAGAGAAAGAAATAAACTTAACAGTAATGATACTATGTGATATTTTTAAAACGAACGTTACCATTAATAAAAAAGGTCAGAAAAATATTTTCAAGTATCAAGTATGGATATGGGTGTAGGTGTCGATATGGCGAACTTCTCTACTCTCATACAGACTTGGATCGAAGAATGGCATCACCAATTTAATGCAAATATTGCCACCTCTAATTCAAACATATATGTAGTGCTTGATGGATTAAAGAGAGATTGTGCATTCAATACAGCTGCGATGAAACAACTTGATAAAAAAAAAATGAATAAGACTCCACGAAAAAAAATTATCTTTCGGAATCAATGAATCCTTGATTTCATGAAACGATATGGAAAAGGATGTTTGTAATTAGATGAATAGTTTAGTTAGATTAGAAAAACAATTGACAAAAAAAATTACGTTAACATTTTGTTGCAACAATCCTATGAACTAATGAATTATGCTTTCATTTCTATTGTTACAATAACTTTTCTCAAATACAAAGATGTATCTGTTTGTTTTTTCATAATATAATACTGAATACAAAGTATTGAAGAAATGGGACCATAATGAACTTTTATTTCTTGTAATGATTAATTGTCATTGTATTTTCTGTGAAAAAGTATTTGTGACCACCATTCTTTTGTCGCTTAGTGATTCTTCATTATCTCGTTCTGACTGTTTCTACATGATATTCATAACTCCCCATCCGCATTGAGCATTTTATTTTCAGAGATCAAACAGATTAACATGTATGGTTGAAGCAATAAGTGAATGAGGCGCGTGTATGTATAGAAAAACTACATACCCATTTATCAATATTGTTTTCTAACTTAAATATTGTAATATATAGCTATATCTATGCCATATAAACGATCATGTT